ATATAACTTCCAACAAGATTAAGATTTTATTGAAATATTTCATTCTATTGTGAATGTACTCCCATTTGCAACTACTGAAACACCAATGTTCCTATTTTCCATCTTAATATCTCTTTATTGATCTAGATATCTTGTTTCAATTTATTTGAAACTTGAGAATCCTGAGGACCGTTGCTCTTGGACTTTTATGTTATGTTTCATGTCATTTTCCATCCTCATCCTATCCAAAAAAAGGGAACTTTTTCTACTCAGGATCATATTTTCGAAATTTGAGGTATCAATGTGAATTTTTGTAACTCTTCGGTTTTCAAAGTTTTCCTTCAAATGTTTGGGATATAGATTTTACAAAATATGTTTTCAACATAATTACATTGATGTATAAATGGACAAGAAAGTCCAATAACAAATTTTCATTAGTTTGACCCGTTCACCAGTCACAGCAGTTTTCATGAGTAAACTGTGAAAGTGTCAAAAGCGTATATTTTGGTGTGTAACTTCTTTTGAAGATCATCTTAACAGTCAAGCGCCATCATGTTTCTTACTCTCTCATAAATGAAAATGGTCACATGTGTTCTCACAGGCATGTCTTATGATTTCATTGTAGAACTGGGATATAAAATTTTTTGTATCTTGAGGGAATGACATTGTTTACTCTTGAAACTGTTTGACTGCTCTGTATTCCTATTTGTGACTGGAATGAGTCTTGGTTGTTAAAGTAAACCTGCTCTTTTATATGCAGATTATGACTCCTGGTCAAAGGGTAACTTTTGAGTATCATGGCAATTTATACATCTTCACGGTCAATCAGGCAAACGTGGAGAGACAAGAAAAATCAAACAGTATTGAAAGAGGGATGATGTCAGCTGATACATACATTGTTTTTGAAGCATCAAACTCAAGCGGAATAAAGGTTAAGTTTTATATGTCTATAAGTGACCTGCATTTGTCGTGCAAATGTCATGTGGTGCAAAACAGACCAACTTACCATCTTGCATTTTATACTGTATTAAATGCAGATTGTCAACCAACGTGAAGCTGCTAGCAGCAACATATTTAGGCACAAAGAGTTCAACCTTGAGTCTTTGGGCATAGGAGGCTTGAGTGCAGAGTTTGCTGATATTTTTCGAAGGGCTTTTGCATCTAGAGTTTTCCCTCCACATGTAACCTCTAAGTATGTCTATATTATCTGAAGTTTTGTGATTATAACGCTTTGAGTGATCTCTTCTTATAATTTGTCAATTTACAATTTGTTCACTTGCTCGCTTGGCTTAGCAACTGAAATCAAACTAATTGTTTTAGACTGGGAATCAAACACGTTAAGGGAATGCTGCTCTATGGACCCCCTGGTACTGGGAAGACTTTAATGGCGCGCCAAATTGGGAAAATGTTAAACGGGAAGGATCCGAAGGTATGTAGATGACTGTTTGCTTTAAAATGCTGCTAAATTTTTATTTTGAGATATTAATTGTCACTAATTTCATGTTGAAAGTGTTTTGTGATTTTCAAACACTTTGTTTTTAGTTGAGTATCACATACAGATAGAGTGATCTGCTTAGAGGTTTGGAAATCAACGGCTTGACTAATTAAGTGCACCTTAACCAGTTTTATCCGAGTCCAAATAAAGTAAGATAAGTGATAAGGAATTAGAATTCTCAATTTTTAATAATAGAGTTCCACTTTTTTATGTTTTAACATATTCTGTTTGTTTTACTGATGAAGCAATTTTTTATTTTTTATTTTTTTACGGTACTTTGATTCGGTTATTGTAAATTTTGTTCAGCCTTGCTTATAGTGTTTGTTTTACTGATGAGGCAAAATATTTTTCTGAGGTATTCTGATTCGGTTAATATCCTTTACCTGTCTTATGATCATTTTGTGGTATGTGAAGAATTGTTGACGTCCTTGGTACTTCTTAGTTATGATTTTTAGAGAAAGGTTGCCAGCACCTTGCCCGGTCTGCTTACATTTGGTTGTGAATGCTGTGCTCTTTCCTCTATTGACTGCCTACTACTGTTCCTTATTTTTCCTCCATTTTGTTTATTTATTTATTTTTTTTATAATGACCCTGGAATTCTAGATTGTCAATGGACCTGAAGTGTTGAGCAAATTTGTTGGTGAAACTGAGAAAAATGTGCGCGATTTATTTGCTGATGCTGAAATAGATCAAAGAACCAAAGGTAATGATCTTACAAAGAAAATTTGCTTACAATGTTGTGTCCTTAGCATAATTTTGTTCATTTTCATCTTTTCAGGTGACCAAAGTGACTTGCACGTTATCATATTTGATGAAATTGATGCAATATGTAAGGTAGGATGTCAAAAAGTGAATTTCTACCCATCAAAAAGAAAAAATGAATTTCTACCTTTTATTGCATGATTGTATTCTATTTTGTTCTTGAGAATGGGCATCTACTTTACTTCACCGTCAACCATTGTTACCATTGCGTCATTGCCTAACACAAATTGACTGTTGGTATAATTGATCGTCAGAAAAATATGGTGTGCATCAAAGCTATACTTTTTGAAAGATAGGTTACTGACATTGTGGTGATAGGTTGACAACCTTATTTTTTTCCTTCCTTCCATTCTTAAAGTTAATGACTGCCCAACATTCAATTGCTTAATGTTGAGTTAAGATCCAAGCATCGGTAAGTTCTCTTAAATTTATATCCTCTATATATATATATATGAGCATCCATTTACTAATTTACTGGGTTTCTTTCAGAAGAAATTTTATAAAAGCTTCCTCTCTTGTGCTAGTAATTCACAAGTCTTTCTGGGTAGTAACGTCT